TTTACTTTATCCTTTACTATACTTTCCTCTTCGTAAGTCAGACGATCCGACGAGGACTTTATGCAATTTTCTTTCGATCTTACGCAGCATATCCCAATCGTGTTAATGCTTCTGCTATCGATCTCTCGTAGAAATCTATCGAGCTCCGTAAATATTTTAACAAACCATTTTTTGCGATCTTCTCGCCACTTGCGCAAAATGCGCCTTTGTAATTTTTCATTTGCATTACGAACAAATCTCTTTAATTATTCCCGATCGTTGGAACGGTAGCACGCGTACACGCGACCGTCATGGTTTGATTTAACAACGAAGAATATTCAACGCATTTGCGAACAACTGCCCGATCGAACTTTTCAACGAAAGTAATTTAATTTATACGTTTCTGGTACAGAAATTAATTAAATTTTATTCGCCGATTGTTGTCCTAAATTTAAATAAACGGGTACTAGGTTATATGTAACACGATGTTGATATGTAAATCGATTCTGTCGTATGGAGACATTCACGAATGTAGTTAAACTTCGTTTCATCGACAGTCAGTAAGATCGCGGCCTTTTAGGTTAAAAGAATTAACCGGATTCCAAAGAATCAACGATGAGTTGAGCGTACGTTTCATCGTTCGGCGATGAGCGAAAGATAGAAATTTCCCGATCGCGCATATAAATACGTAATAAATAATACAGCGAAAACGCGAAATCTGAAAGATAAAAGAAGATCATCGTACGATTTACGATGAAACATGCCAGATATTCGTTCGAGAAATCATTTCATCGACTACGCTATTGAAAGAATCAGCGACTTCAAAGAAGATTTTCAAAGATTCGTCGAAACACGTTCCATCGAAATAGCAACGATGCTTACAATTTGCGGTCTCTTTTACTGGATCCAACAATACGTGTCTACGTAAATGAATTGCAAGTACCAGACCTATAAAACCGTATTACGACACGTGCACAATTTTATCTCCGGGTGATTTCTCAACCACGACCTTTCCCTGGTAATCATTCATAATTTCTTCCCTGCTACAATGACAACGGTTTTTCCTTTTTCCAGTTTCTCTCCGATACTTGGTCCAGATACTTGGTCCAGAGAAGTGAAGAGAGTTTTTCTCCCCTTTATTTATCGCGATCGGTGCTGTTTTTCTAGCAAACAGCTCAGTTTTAACGCGAAAGCTTTAGAACGTTCGTTCGACTCGAACAACTCTGTTCACGATGCAAATAATCGAAGCACAAGCTGAACAAATTACCTCGAAACGCAACACGCGCAACCACGCGATCCTATACGAAATATGCGGATGCTTATTATGCATTGGCCGACTTTGTCTTTTTTTCGAAATCAGGTTATAAGGGGATGGCGATGAAGATAATTTTATTTGTATCATTTATGTTTTTTAATTTCATGTAACTCGGAATAAAGCGAAGGAACTAACGATTCCGTCTAATAACCAACTCGTTTCGTAGGAATCTGTTCGTCGATACTTGCAAAGGTCATTGGAAATTAATATCCTTTTTTCTTTTTTACTTCCGATGTCCAATTAGTAGGTTTTCATTGAAGCAAATTATTAATACAATCGTTACGGTATATGTGGTACAGATTGCGGTAACGTTAGGAAAAACACGCGCTGATCTCCGCCGCGTATGCAGCTATTTTCAAATCAGATGAAATCAGGGATTTGATACAAAGGTTTCTATAAGCGTTCCAACACTTTCATGGGCCACTGTATGTCGAGAAGTAAATAACGTCCGTATATTTGTCTCTCATGTTGGTCAGAGGAAACCGCGTAACGTTAAAGTTAAGCTTAAGGGTAAACTATTGGTTAGGGTGAAGATAGAAGTATAAGCGAAGGTAAAGGCAAAGGTAAAGATAAGAGTAAATGTAAAGGTCATTCTTGGTTCTCTCGTGACGTTGCGACAATGGTACCGTGAAGAACCTAACGCAAAGATTGATTACCACGGAACAAAAGACCAATGATTCCAATCCGTTTCGTATCGGCTTTCACGTGTTTTTCTATCTTCCCCCCATCCTTTTTCCTACTTTTTTTTTTTAATCCTTTGTGCACATACACGAATGCACGCGTGCACGCAGATACACGTACTTACATACGCCTACCTCTCGATCTCATCCGATCGTGTTCCGTCCCCATTCAACTTCAGTGCGCAGCTGTAGATTGCAACGTTACTTACCGTACAGTGAACGTAGCTATTTTTATTTCACCTTCGTTGAAAAAAAATCATCCCCGTATGTAGCTACTCGGTCGAAATAATGTATCATACTTGAACTTAAACGCAGTCACGACGCTTCGTTTGGAATCTTCTCCTTTTCTTTTTTTCTTTTTTTTTCGTCTTTTGAGCTTAGAATCGTTTTTGTAATCGAGCATCGTCTCTTTTAACTTTTCTATACGTGCGAACCTAGAAAGATTTATACCAAGTACGGAATAAAATAATCGAAGCGGCGTAACGCTCGTCGAACAGAGTACAATGCTCCGGATGGAAGAATTTTGAACGAAAGTACAAATTAGTATGCAACAGTTGCTCGTAAGAAAATGATTTCATCGAATATCGGATTGTGTCTCAAATAAAAGTTTGTTGGTCGCGGATCGTTGATTTTGAGAGAAAATATGGAATACAAAGACGGCTTGTTTCCAACGATTACACGAGTGACCGACCCGTGAAGAAGAGCCGAGGCTCAGCGTACAATCTATACGACATCACCTGAAGCAACGATGCTACTCCCTTGTCTTCCCCGAATACCCGCCAATCTATCCTTCCTCTCCCTTTCTATCGGTCTCTTTATCGAGTCGGGAAATCATCGCTCCGTTTACTCTACGTCAACCGACGAGCTGACCTCGACGGTCACCCACGGTTCTATTCGTTAACGCGGATCATTCGCCGATCAGTTTCAAATTCTTCGTCGATTTAACTCTGGCCTGTCCAAAAGAAAGTTTTAAACGTGCTATCGTGTACCTTCAAATTTATCGATTTATCGCGACTAAATGGTAAACTGTGCTTACGGTAAGCTTGGCTTTACGTAGAGGCTTAAAAATCTTCGCTCGATCGAAAGATTTGTGTGCGCAAAAATCCAAGAGACGTATGCAATATGCAGAATTGTACGAAACATTCGAAGTATAGTAGCCGGCATAATATTCAAAGGATGGAAGAAATACAGTGTAAGGATCTAACTCACCATTCTTGTAAAGATAATCAAAACGGCGGAGTTGGTAATTTATCACAATTTTAAGAGATCAGAAACAAACTTTCGTTTAAAAACAATTGTCCCCTGAAACTTTTCGTTCGCGAGAGATTACCTCGTTTAGACGTAAAGAATCGGACGAAGGCTGTTGCAGCGTCACAAAGTTAAACGAAATGAAACCATAAATTTCAAACACGGACGGACGATGATGGAAGAAACCACGAGGGCAATGAGGTGCTACTACGAGATGCGATGTCGAGAGGCGTTTTAATCAAGCTATACGATCCGACACCGGTTTACCGCGACGTTTAAACTTACAAAGCGATATCTGTGGTCCCACTCTTCACTACTGATCGACGAAAGACGATGATACGCTCGTTAACGTACATTGCACGATTATTATTTCGCCATTTATTGAATTCGTAACGTTTTTGGCCATCGAGAAACTGTAAATTTAGGAAATCGAAAAAATGTTGCGAGAGAAACGTCGAATAGAAATGTTCCACGTATGCTGATATCCTGATTAATGAATGGCCTCTTGTATTCGATCGTTGGTGTTATTAACACTTTACTGACCGCTGGCGGTTCAACAGCATACGCTCGTCCGACCGGCAACTCAGGCTCTGTTTCGGTTTAGACTCTCCGATACCGTTCTTTTCGTTCATCGCGAACAGTAAGTTTTCAAATTGATATAAAACTGTGAGAGCTTACGAAGCAACGCAACTGACGCAACTGAGCAAAGTATCTTAGCGCTAAATAACAAATTACTGCTCAAATAATGAGAAAGATTGTCGGCAACAAAAAGCCGATTAATAGGCTACCGATCGGTAAGCGTCGGCGACAGAAAGCCGATTAATCGGCTATCGGTCGATAAAGTGTCAAGTTACCTACAAAGATGCTCAGGTTTTTCATCAAAAATTATTCTGTCTTTTACTACTCTTCTTATATTCTTCTACCTCGTACCAACTTTCTAGAAACTACTCTTATTTCGTTTCGATACTCTCTCTCCCTCTCTCTCTCTCTCTCTCTCCCTCGCGTTCTGAAAAATTGAAAAACGTATTTTAAATAAGCGAACGTATATCTATGGGTTTTAAAATATACAAGAGAGGCGAGGTGCCAAGCAATAATACGCGTAAAAGTTACGGCAAGAAAGGAATTGCGTTGTTTTATTTCTCATTTAGTATTCATAAAACATCCGTTTACTAAGACACAATCAAGGTAATAGACGATAAAACGTACACGACGCACTTTTGACGAAAGAAGCGACGATATTTGAAATTCAAACGCAGCGTCCTGTAAATTACTTTACGTCGACACCGTAGTTGACAACGATAAGAGTCGGCACGAGCGGATTCGTACGAATTTTAAAATACGTAGAACAGACGAGCAGCTGTCTGTCGATCTGAATTGCCGCAAAATATCATTTCATTCTTGACACGTAGACATAGGCCGGTCTACCCAATACCGATGACGTTGTCAATCAAATAACTGACCATTCTTCGTGCATTTGTCGTGCGCTTCATTTGCGAATTAAGAATCTCAGTCTTTTACATGTATCGTCCATATATATGTATATGGGAATGTGTATGCCATACGATAAGATAAACTGAGTAAAATTCCATTACTTAAATCATAGCCTCGCGGGAGAAATATCCTGGTATACGAGCTAGGACAACGAACGATAAAAGTGCTTTGCAGAGAATATCCCATTCTTCGATGAGAAAAAGTTGAATTAAAAGTATACGTAACTTGTAACATAAAACATAGAACTCGGGGTAACAGATTAATAACGATGATCTAATCCTTTACAGAATGATCATCCCTTCGACGTTTTTGTTAATGGTATCCGTCACATTCGCGATCGCCGAAGAGTCCATGTCAGAAAATGTTCTCTCCGACAAACGTGCCGTTATGGGATTTCAAGGAATGCGTGGGAAAAAGAATTTTGACTCTTTGGATTCGGAGGACTTTGGAATTTTGAAACGTGCGATCATGGGCTTCCAGGTAAAGCATCTAAAATCATTTACGAAATGCTTGTTATTTGTATAATATTATATTATTCTTTTTGCATTATTACGTTATTCCTTCGAGAATTATTATTTTACCATTGTACAATATTATTATTTTACCACTCGATAGAAATCTTATATACTTGCTGCAATTAGCTATTCGTTGAGCGTGCACGTCTTTCAGGAATTTATTGACATTATGCATAATGCGTGGTTGCGTGTGTACAGGGAATGCGTGGAAAGAAAAACTCGATAATCGCTGACGTTGAAAATCAACTTTTCCCCGAGGAGACTAATAAGCGTGCGCCGATGGGTTTTCAAGGCATGAGAGGCAAGAAAGCTTCGTTAGATGACGAATATTACAAACGTGCACCGATGGGATTTCAGGGAATGAGAGGCAAGAAATCTCTCGAGGAGGTAGGCAAACAGCGAACCTTGAATTTCGAAGATCATTTGAAAAGTGTTACGCGAGGCAAAGAAATATTACTTTTTACTCGTTTACATCGATTTATTTCTCCTTCGTTCTCTTTTCCCCTTTTTACGCCTGTAACTTCTTTCAATAGTCCTTAACAAATGGAAAAGAAACAAATTCAACGCGCTCTTTAAACTACGCTCTTGAGAAACGATAGAATTTACAACGATGAAACTTAAAAATTTACGCCACCATTACATACGTTGCATAGTTACTTCGGTAAATGGTAAAAGCTTCGTTTCTATTGTAAAGCGAGAACCTAGCTTGCGAAAGAAATGAAAGCGTTCAAAGAAATAATACAATAAGAATACTCTTTGTTTCCTTGTCCGAATGTTATGATTATACCTATATACGTTTTCTATACGTGCAGATCTTAGATGAAATTAAAAAGACTACCACGAGATTCCAAGATCCAAGAAGCAAAGACATGTACGTGATTGATTATCCAGAAGATTATGAAAAGAGAATATTGTCGATGGAAGGATATCCAAATATTTTCGATAAGGAAGGCGAATTCTTGTGGGAGAAGAGAGCTCCAATGGGATTCCACGGGATGAGAGGCAAAAAATTAATTCTTGACCCGTGGCAAGATCTTGATAAACAAGACGTTATGAGCTTCCAAGTGAGTAAAGCATGTAAAATATTTCCCAATGCTTTGTGTGCAACATAAACGAAAGAAATTGCGCTGTATATGAGCACTGTGCATATTATGTATTCGTATTAAATAGTGCGAATCTTAAAAGATCTAGGGAAACTTTGCAGGGGCTGCAACGTAGGAAGGATACGTTCGATGATTATTTAGATTATTCGATGAATCCGTCAGATTACGAGAAAAGGGTTGCGGATTTTCAAGATATAGAAAGCGGTAGCGATTCGTTTAAAAGAGCTCGCATGGGTTTTCATGGGATGAGAGGTAAAAGGAACGTTGGGGAGATTTACGGATCTAATTCGAGCCCTACGCAAACGACGATCGGTTATCAAGGTATTTATATAAATTATATAACGTTGAAAAAGATTACGATCAAATAAAATACGGATTGTGGTACTTCAAACAGGCGTAAGCAACCCTGGAAACAATCTCGCCGTGTACGAAATTGAAAAGCGATCACCCTTCAGATATCTTGGAGTCAGAGGAAAGAAGAATCCACGATTGGAATTCCGAGGAAAATTCGTAGGGGTGAGAGGCAAGAAAGCGTCGTCTTTGCAATCTGTCTATTAATGTATTTCAGTAAAGAAACATCGAAAGGAGTATGAATGAAGATTCGTGAATGTTATTAGGTAACTTGATGAACTTATTATAATTGTGGGTAATGTAGTGAATAAAGTTTTACTTTTTATCGACGTTTCTTATTTCAGGCAATTAGCAGTAATAGCACTGGTTTTGTTGGTGGCAACAATGGCAACGCAACAACAATAATCACTGTGTAATGCTAGTCTTTTTGTTTAAACGTGTATTAGACTGTATCGCTTGATAGGTATACCTAAGGATAGGGGAAGACAACGCGGTACTTTTATCAGTAGACTGTCCTCGTTATTGTCATTGCATTCCATGCGTACATTGTGAAAGAATACGTTGTCTTCTCCCCTCGAGATTTTAGTTTCAACGACATATCCGTACACCGCCAATGTACATATATACGTAAACCTCGAGCGTATTACAGAGCGCGTTCCTATTTCTTATATTTTGAAAAGGGCTTAAAAGACGTCACTCTCTCTCTCTCTCTCTCTCTCTCTCTCTCTCTCTCTCTCTCTCTTTGGTTGCTAATTTTTCTTACCGTTACCCTTTTAATTTTGATACAAAAAATTAATTTATTTTTTACATTCTCCACGTCATTCTCGAGACTGTTATCTCGACTTAGGAACAACTTAAAACGGACATAAATAATATAGAAGTAGATAGAAGATTCTATTTTTCTTGAAAAAAGAAATCATCGATATATATGTATACAGATATTTTACGCTTCAACCAGCAAAGGAAATTAAATATACTTTAAGTTCATTCCTTTCTCGGAATACAATGTGATTGTTATGACTATACAACACAATATTTTTATACTATCGATACCTCACCTCCTTTCGTGTTTTGTCACATGAACGATATTTGTTAAACACAGCTTGTTTGCAAATAAGTTTTAGAATACGTAATCGTTTAGTATTCTACCCAATGACGAAGACCTATCTATGTTGTAATTTGTAAGTGTGAAACAAGTCTCTGGCAATTTAAAAAAGAGAATAAATATCTATATAAGTTATTTGATTTACTTGTTTAATTTGAACTACGCAATATAATAGTTGCTATTTACACAACAGTTGCAATTACTGGAAGAACGATGAAAATAATGCATCTATATATACATATGTTATTTATTATTTCACAGAAGGAAAGTCTGTGTCTATGTATCTACATCTAAGGACAAATACATATAAATAAAAGCACTACATTATATTAATTCAACAAGTGCTGATATTGGCACAAACTTATAATTGACAGGAAAATATTCTATTTTAACAAATATGTCTATTTTTCTGTATCGGAAGTTTTATATAAAAACTTTATTATCAAAACACCTTTTTATATGGAACCAAAAGCAACAACTTTCTTTTCGTAAAGATTAATGACTTTCATACGATGATAGTAAAATACATCGAAGGATTAACTTTAAGCCGGTAAACGCGTTAGAGGTTAGGTGATTGGAATGGACAATTCTACGATATTTACTAATGTACAAATACAAATATCACAAATTATCCAAATTCGCGTTTATTTTTATCTGTAGCATAAACGAAATAAAATTCTATTCAATTTAAAATTAACCTAAACTATCACAGAATCACAACCAAATGAAGCTGTCGTTGTATTTTCTTAAGGTTGGCTAACCTGTATTGTTATCGTGTGCAATGGTACGGTCGTACCGTCATACGGTACGCAATGTACGAGGTGATCAATTTCTAACCTATACATGCGAATCTGTCACTCTTCAAGCATAAATTCCAATTGTTGGTAAGTAATGTCCACGACAAAACCAATTAAAATTTTAACGAAAACATTTAATAAGTTATAATAATAAGTTATTTAATAAGTTATACTAATATAAATATACATATATGCATAATATACATATGCATCGGTCTTGAAATAAATGTAGAATAAATGTGAAAACAATACGTGTGGTATATAAAATAAACACGCATAGAATCCGCAAGGGAACTCTGATTAAACAGATATTTATTCATAATGCTATATAATACATATGTGTACATACACCACTTGACATATTTCGCATCCAAAATTCGAATGTTACAGATATTAAAGAACTTATTTATTCCCAACCTCCTGCACAATTAGTTCGGATAAATGTGTTCCAAACAGAAGATACACGATTGTACAAAGTAGAATAGAATCGAACGCGCCAAACTGCTTTACAAATTTTATGACGTTCTATGGATTTATCTAATCGGATAGAATAATCAGTGTGCGATTAATTATGTTTTCTGAAAGGAGAAAAGTTCCTCTCATCTTTTATAGAATCGGCCGGTACCGTGAAGTACTCATTTCCAAAACGGAAGGTATATGTTTTTAAACTTCTTTTCCCATGCCATGGACCCCACGCTCTGGGTTTCTCATATTGTTCGTTTTGCTTCGTTTTCTTCTCAATTTCACTGCAACTAATGAGATTATATTACCAAAATAAACGAAGAATGAAAACTGTCGAAGACAATTTATCATTGACATATGTCTTTAAAAAGATTTTAATTACGAACCAATGTTTTTTGGCGCAGGTGTTACACATAGAAGATAACCAATTCTTCGTTTCGATCGAGAGTTTTTCGTCGCCAAGTTTTCTTCCTGCAATGAGTTTATCTTTGAAACAAAGCAAATTGATTACAAATCCTGTGATTTGCTAACTTTATTAATTTAGGATTTTATGTTAAATCTGTAATTCGAGCTTGTTTGCGAACACAACGGTAGATAGCATACAACATGATCCAATTACGATCTTGATTCGCGTAGTATGATGTATTCAAAACAAATGCAAACAGCATCGAGTCATTTTGGATTTCTGAAAGCGAACGGTTTAAACGTGTATCTTATTTTATAACTTACCTTTTGCCATCAGGTGGAGGCTATGAGGATCTCTCGTTAATGCTAAAACTGAATCTCGATTGTTCAGTTTCTCCGCTCTTTTTCCACCCCAACTATTAAAAGGAGTCCATTCGACGCTTTCTGTTATTCTTTTAACATTGCTAAATTCATTCGTAGGTGTGTCTCGATCGTACCAATCGTGCGTAAGTTTCGTTCGTTTCCCTTGTGAGTCGACTTTCGATCGAGAATACTCTTTTGCTCGTTTACCACTCCAAGGGTCGAACGATGTCTTTTTCCACACTTTCCATATATCGTTCCCAGGTCTGTCGGTATAATTATCGGTTAGTATATCGTTGCTTTCGTTTTCCAGGTCCATTATGTCCGGTAGGACTATATCGTCGATTTCTGAATTTGCGAGAATCGCGCGTATCAAAAGGGAAACTATAGCAAACATCAACCACATGCCTGAAACAAATTAATTTGGTAGAAATAACAGATGATAGATACAAATGAACGTTTTAGAATATAATTTTCTCTATTTCTTCGACATTCTCTTCGCTGCTGGTACAAAATATAAAAAATACATATTTTCAACCTTTTTTGGGAAACAACTAAGCAATTAACAGAAATTGACATTTAAGGTATAAGATATGTAGTATTACATTTGCACGAATCTTTCTTCAGCTATATTATTGAAAGGTTAAACAACTATCCGATTAATTACTAAACCCAAAATAGAATGAAAACGGATAACAAAAAGCTCGATTAAGTACGTATGTAGTACGAGATGTAGCGCATACACGTACACTCTTGAATATGCTTCATATTTAGCATTCTTCGCTATATCGTATAATATAATTGCAAAGAGTACGAAAAGAGATGAATGTCGGGTATGGGAAACATACGTGAGCATTGTCATTTGCTTTTATACGCAAACAAATATCGAGAGGGAACAGAATAATGATGCTTAATTTTCATCAAGTATAATGTACTAAATTTTATACGATAAAACTGCAAACTGCCGGAATCGCGTTTCATTTTTAACTTTGTTAACTGACAATGCATACGCATTACGATTTCATAGTAGGATCAAATCGTTTCTGAGAAAAACCATGAAAAGAGGCTAAACCTTCCATTTGTTGGATCTAAATATGCATGTGCAATGTAAAAGTAAATACTATATTAACTGCATGAAATCTTTATGGAGAAGTATAATTCTTATATGCAGAAGTACGTTGCCTCCCTCAATTCCCTCTAAGAATAATCTACTAATTGTACGTTCCTATTAAAGTCGCATTACTTTCATCCTTGCGAAATAGTCGGATTTATATTATATGCGCGTTTCATATACTTTCTTAAATATGTGCAAACACAGCGGATAAATTTAACGTGGAATATCCGATTTGATAATTCCTCCCTTATATTTTCATCATTTCTTTCGTGTTATCTTCGGTCATCGAGTAAAATTAAAATAAATCCGATATTTTGGAAGTAATTTTTAGAGAATCTTTATATTTATTATCAGAGCCCTATAGGAACTGTAAAAGAACATTTTAATTTAACGGAATACGAAAAAATATGTATATATATTCGTATATTTCTCTTACTATATATTATATATCTATTTTTTATTATATTTTATTATATTTATTATGTTTTGTGTTATATATAGTTGAAGGATGTGTTGCATCAAGTGGAAGCAACAGTGCATTTTCGTTAAAACTTGTTAAAACAATTAACAAGCACTTTCAAACCTGTCATCGGCTTATTCTTTTTCACAAACCATTTACGTCCTGCAATATCATATTTGAAAGGAACCTTTTTCTCTCGAAATGTTCATTTTTAGATCTTTTCGGTTTCTCCCCCTTTTTTTTTAACAAACCTTCGTTACATTAAATATCAGAAATAGAGAAACTATGTTTTCGACTTAATTTAATTTTCGTATGTCCTGTCATTCGACGCAAAATACGTGTCAGATCAAATTTTCAGAAAATATTCGTATCTGTCAGGCCGTATCTATCAATCTAGAATAATTTTAGATGAGAAAATTACGTGTCAAAGGATCTAGAAATTCTCTTTTTTCTTACGCGTACTAAACACACTTCCCTATAATACACAATATGCAACAAATTAAATAAGTCGACGAATCAACGTTAATTTCTGCAACCCCTTCGTTGCCGTTTTTAATGATTTAAGAAATGAAAGCTCCAAAAAAGACGAAATGTATCATCGGTTAGCACATTAAATAAAACTAATCTTCTCTTACTAAATAAAAATATTTTTAGATCACTATCGTTTAAACTCGTTATATCTTCTTCTTGTTAATTTTAATTCACTCTTAGAGTTTTATCGTCTAGTAACCAAGAGATTAATAATATTGGTGAGAAGGATCAATTAGCGAACTTTTTTAATTTGTCACGTTAAGAGCTGCCGCTTACCTCTTACACTGGTATCGTATTTCACTGTTGAAACCTATCCGCAGTTTCTGTTTCGAAAACTAATTCTTCACTTAATGGGATGTTACGATTGCGAAAAATCGTCTCACCACCGTTCCTTTCAGTTCTATGCAAATATATTGTACAGTACGCGCGACACTTGCGAGCTCCGCTAAAATAAGATGTACAGTGACTAGTAACGATACGCGCGGCTCTTCTTATACCCGCCACGTGCTTCCGCAGCGCACTCTCCTTGCTTCGAAAGAGCAACCCCGATTTTTAACCGCCCTTTTCATCCATGCTGCTATTATTGCTCACGCTTAATGCTTTTCTCTCTCTCTCTCTTCCTCTCTCCCTCTTTCTCTTTCTATTTCGCTACTGCACGTTGATTCCTATTTACGTTATTACATAAATCCATCTTCTAGGAAAAAACAAGAGAAACCAGAAACGAAACGGGGCAGGAAAAGGAGCGGAATGATGTTGCAAATTGTTATATCGTCGATGATAACGAACGTAAAACTTCGCCTCTCTTGTCCTATCATTCTTTTGTTAGATCGAGCGACGTTGTTTAGTGCAGATTTTAATTTGTCGTGATATATTATTTTATTGTAGAATAATTGGTTATCAGAGGTCTTCGCCAGAGTTGGCTACATTCGTCAAGTAATATCGTATTCCGCTGAAATTAGCTTTACCTTATCTTTCATTTGTGAATTAAAACAGACGATGACTGTTAATCATCATTCAATAATTTATTTCTATAATACGTGATGAAACACATTAAGATAACGACTACCATTGACACTCGACCAAAGTCTATACGTTTGCGTGGCTTTGGAAAGCGCGAACAGCAGGGAAATCCGTCGAATTTTTCTTGAATTCAGGCCCGTAATCCAAGGAAACGAGGCAACGGTGTTAAACGCTTGTCTTTTGCTTTGTAAAGTACGGTGACATTTTGCGAATACAATGACAAAGTGAATATGCGAGAAGAGACGGAGGTAGCATATGTGCGTATCGGTTAAAAATGCGTTTCTTCGCACTTTGAAAGATTACGTCGTAAATTTCAGCTCAGGGTAATGCGTAACGTCAAATTTTACGGTGAACAGGCAAGAGTAAAGACAAACGGAAGCAACAGCCTGTTGATCATCATTTTAATTTCAATCTCACCAAGAGAATTGCTCGCCGTTTCGATCAGAGTACAGTAGAAATCGAAGAACGATGAACTATTATCAGAGGTTTTCTTTCTATAAATTTACTCGGATCGCGCGATTTTTGAAGAACAAACAAGGCCAAGGTCTGATCATTCGTTTTTAGGAATATTAAGTATAGCGATTCAAGTAGATACAGATGTTGTATACAGGCGCGAGTGAAATGATCTTCATAAAATACGTAAGCATTAGGTAAGAGTATAATTGTGATGATAAAGCAAAATAACTTGCTTAAAATTATGGTTAAACGAGTAACACGGTGCTATTAAGTCCAGTCGGTAGATTTATTCGGTCAATACGTTTCTTCGGAACGTTTAACATTCTTTGTTTGTAGGTGTATTCGCTTTAGCGTTTCCTTTGCTCGCAAACGTAAAGATTCCGGTGAAATGTTATATATACATTCGTACAATACGTCCAATTTGATGTAATTTAACATTATTCGAATGACAATCAACTACGAACGTTCAAACGAGAAAAATTACATTTCGCCACACGAAATCTTTCAAATTCATAAGCCTAAACGATACATATGAAGACATTCTTTTAGACAAACTGAAATTTTCAATCGTAAAACAAGCGTTTCGCTTCGCTCTAATTGGAAACGATCGCGAAACACCAACCAGTTCGTTGCCAAAAAGATCTTAATTTTTTGAGAAACACTTTAAGTAAGAACAATTAGCGTTTAATCAGAATGATTCGTTCAGTGATGGTAACAACACTCTTTTACCTCTGGACGCATAAAAGGGATCAAACTTGGATAATAAGTCTTTAACAATTCCCTTCGTTTTTACCTCTTGAAGGTGATCTTGGAGTTTCTTTGTTCTCCTTTCTCTTTCGCTAAAACGATCCTTGCATGTATTCGAATCGCATTTCAAATCTTCCCTCAACTTTCCTCTATCCACGAAGCTATCTATCATCGATTCGAATTCTTTCGATTCTAATCGTTCGGATAATATCTTTTCGTCGTGCCAATTATTAGTTCTTTTACCTTTGGAAATGAAGTAAGGTTGCCTGAGTATGCTATCCAGCATGTCATAACCGACACTACCCCTTCGCTCTCTTTCGAGATAAGCCAAGATAGTCGGCATCGTTTTACGAACATGTCTGTACCGCCAATTTGGTCGGTACGTAGATTCGACCACAATATTCTTTACGACGGCGGAGGCACTGTTTGCCGTGTTCGAGTCGCGTTTCATTCGAACGTGAAATAAAACAGAATTACCCTTTTCGCCAATCGCGTTCCTCGAAACGCGAGCCAATTCGATCGGCATGTGAAATGTCGTCAGTCGAGGCGTGTAAATCGGACGTGAGACTATTTCGTCTTTCGAACGATACGTCGCCGGTATTTTTCTAAAATCCGCTCCACGCATGTCTTTCTGTTTGTTAAACGTTGACTCCACTTTTTCGAATCTCCCGCTCTTTTCCTCGTTTTTCGAATATATCTTTCGCTCGTCGTACGCCCTTTTCCTTCGCGTGGCAAACAACGAATTCTCATAGTTATTTGATCGTAAATGGTCGATACATTTGTCATCCGTCCTTTTCAGATTTTCCTCTTCTTCATCGTTATCACCACCGTCGTCGTAGTTGTCGTTATTTTTGTTTTTTTCGAGTCGCGAATTCGCATACGTCGATCTTCCATCTTCCGTCGTTGACTCGATCGTTTTCTGATCGTCCGCCAGGATAACGTTCGGATCTTCGTACTCGATCGGCGATTCTCCTCTCTTCGAATCGCTCGCGATATTTCTTAATTTTTCGTGAAACTTCTTTCCCCGAGAAATGATAAATGGATCGATCGTCTCCAAACGGCTATGACGCGAATGCTTCTCCTTGCGATCATTATCAATTTCGACCCATGTTGGTTCCTCCACGTAGAATGGATTTTGTTTTTCCAAGCCTAATTGTCGATGATAGCAACATTCCTTCGAATTAAACGATGCGAAACGATCGTCTCTTTCCAGTAGTTTGCGGAACTCTACCGATCTTGGTATGGTAGGATTCAGGATACGACGTCCTACGTGCTCGGCTCCTATTCTCTTTGCCAGATTCCAGCTATCATATTGCGATTGTTTGCCACTTGGGTCCACGTATCTTTGTAACACGATAAACTTTGTAATTATTTGCATATAGTACAGAAGTAGCGTCCATAGGTCGCGGAACACATAGTACATTTATCGAAAATTATGTTTAAAATTAACAAACACGTGACGACTTATGGACGATAGCGTATTTATATGAAATATGTATTTTGGACGATTACCTGTTCGCTGTAAAAGGTGTGAGTTTCAGCGATTTAGTAGCCTCTCGCGAGGTATGGTCATCGATTTCGAAACAAATGGCGTCTTGCCACGATCCACGTCTTCCATGTTTCCCCGAACAACGCACATTCAGATTGAACGTCGGTGTCGCTTCATCGTTTATGCTTTCCTAAAAATTGTGATTTTTTTAAATATCAGCGAGGGCGGTGAACGGTCTGGCGTTTAAACGGTGGACAAGAACTGTTCGTTATAAATATTGTTACGAAGCAAACAAGAAGTAGAAGATGAAACGCGACTCCAGGGAGGAAACTGTACTTCTTCGTACGTACAAGTGTTTTTCTTTTCTCTTTTCCCTCTTTTTCTTGTCGTAATCAATAAGGAGTTGGTGTAACCTTTTAAGAGTTTACTCATTAAAATGTGACGAAAGTAATAATAATACATCGATGGAAAAAAAAAGGATAAGAATTAATTTAGCAGAGTAATTCATAATTAGTAACGCATAGCTTTGCATAATCAGAATATTTAACTCTTACGATGCGACAAGTTCGTGCACATTTACCATAGAAGTGTCCTTTATCTTCGTCGCATCGATATTGCATGCCACCGCTGATAAGAGCGCTAGCGTAAGGAGGGATCTCGTCATTCCTACAAAATATACAAAATATTACATTCTCGAAGACGAAACTCCGTATGAAAAAATTATAGTCCATATTTTCGACTTACTTTTATATCAGGCGATATTTTCGACCCCCTTTCCTGTTGTACTACGATTTCGAAAACACCCTGTATACATAGTAACTATTTATAACCGAGGAGCGCTCGTAGGAAACATCGTAAGTGCCAAAATTGAAAAACTTCGACTTTTTATTGAAAAATGTTCTATATACCAATGGAAATATCGCGGTATAGAATTTGAGTGCAATTTCGCTTTCTAAATATTTATTAATAATGCTAGAAGATGGCGTTTCCACAGAGAGAAATTAGACGAATGGAACTAACTATAAAACAAAACAACATAACGTAATAATATAATATAATACAACTACAAAAGGTGACACGTACAGAGTTTTCTACAAATACACTTGTCTTTTTCACCAATTTCAACTGCATTGATACATAAGGATTCTTCTCCTTCTGAACATCTTGCTTCTTGGCACTTACAGTGTTTTAAGGTTATGTATTTTTAAATTTTAACAATACGTCGCGCTAAACTTTCGTCCCTGATGCCTTGCAACAATTGGATTTCAAAAATTATTTAAAGATATTCTGTCTATTTCGAAATATCGATCTCGTTCGAACAATTATGATCGGTAACGTAACAGTTAATGCGAGATGTGGACCTACCTGTTGTAACAACCGACCACGAACACTGTTTCGTCGTTGCACGACGAGTCGAACGCGAAGAATGGACTCGAAATGACCGTTTCTGCCGTATTTATGGTACTCGTTCGCGAATCCTACGGGCGACCTCGTTGCGGTCGAGAGATTAGGAGAATTGTATGGGGAATTTACCCTGCCACGAAACGCAAACATCCTGATGACTTTAGGTTATAAGTTTCTTCCGTGTTCTTGTTCTTTCGTCGAAAAATTCCTGTCATCAAGGGAAATGCGTTTCACGCTGGTCACGCTTGTCATAACAGAAAATGTTATTTCGTATTTTAACATTTTCAACGCCGACTCGATCATTTATATACTTAAAGACGATGCACATTGTCCCTACAATTTTTAATATTAATCTTCCGACTGCAACTTTATTTTTACCGACTTTGTTCCTATACCGAGTCGTTTAAGACCATTCGGCTTTGTTTATACCTTTGTGTCTTAACAAATCTCCAAAAATTCTTGGATAAAAGCTCTTCCAAGCTTCTAGAATGTCACTCGATTCGCAACGTAACGCTAAATTTTATTAGCGAAGCAACGTTCAAACAAAAATATCGAAAGAATGGAAATTTGCTGATTCGAAAACGGTATGCAGATGGAGGTTTAATTAAGTTAAGATTAAATTAAACTAATATTATACGCTTCTTATAAAATACATCGTGTATGTGTCGTCGAATCTGTCAGGATGTTTCCCTCTTTAGCTATTCCATGTGAAAGTACTTTGTTCTTTTTTTAGTCGTTAAATGGTAAGAAAGAAGTCAGAAAATCAACAAACTATAATCAAACTACGTCGTACAAACAAAAATATCGATAACGTGCAATATAGTTTGCAATACGTTCAATGAAACAGATATTTACAATGTAAACTGGAAAGGGATTGAATATAAGTACGCTGTTTCTTTCTGCGTCATGAAAGACGCGTAAGTACTTACTTATAACCATAAAAACGTTATGATGCGAGAAAGAACATGCACTCGTGTTTAATGTGATAGTACGTTGTGTAACCGAATCAAGTAGGAGGTAACCAAGAGCGCGTATCAACTTACTTACGTTTGATGTAATCCCTTTCGTCGGCATATCTTCTAACTTTTGCCCCTTTAAACCGATCGAGTTCAAACAAAATTTTGATTCTCTGGCCTAAACGACGATCTTCCCTAATTTTTCTTTTTCTTTTTGCGAGTCGTAGATCGTAGATATTGATAGTCGTAAAATCGTAAGAATTCGTCCACTGCGTCGTTTCGTACGACTGGCCAGTTCATTTGATTTCACGTCAAGTATGTGTTCTTTCGTTTTATCGATCGATTTAAACATTTATGGGTGTTCTTTTCAGATCAAGAACCGATACATCCGATATTTCAGAAGAAATCGATAAACCATGGTGAGATAATCTGCTTATCTATTATAAGTTATACGGTAATATAATACATTTGGCGATATAGTTTATTTTTGAAGTGGGTGCAATTACGCGTGGTAACTACGCAAAATTCTAGGCAGAAGATCGATAGAAACAACGTGCATTTTATTTCTCTCGTTTGTTCGTAGAAATTCAGATTTTTAGGCGATGGGGATTGCCCCGATTGGTTGCTGGCTGAGATCAACACGTTGTCACGTATGGTACAATTTCGTTTCAATATCACAGACAGTTTTCGCTTCTCGATCGAGTACGCCACGATCCTTGAAAGTTTGTTTAATTATTTTGTCGCAGACATCAATCAAAATCAAAATACTGGGCCAAACGGTTGCAAAGTATCTTACGGAGAGAGATCTCGATGTGAGTATTAATTCTTGATGATCTATATTTCAAAATAATAATTTTGCGAGCTTGTCGGATTTACTCGTGCCCGTATAAGAGATAAAGATTGGTTTTAACAAAGAATAAAGATTAGGAATAAATATCCTGCAGAAAATTTTAGTCGGGCAGAGAAAAATAGGATAACGCGTTATGTTGTTAAAAAGGAAAGAAAAAACGATAGAGTAGATCTTAGATACTGAAATCTAAGCGAAAAAGAGTTTTACGTTATACTATTTGTTCTGTCTCTGTCGCTATCGTTGTTATTTTTAGAAGAGTAATATCAATTTCGGAATACTTTTTCTTTTTAAGGAGGAGAAGGTCAGAAAAATTACTCAAGACGCTAAGGTTGGTAAGTGGAAATCAATTTTATTGCATCAAACAGTAAGTACAAGTGTATTGTTTTCTCGTTTCATACACAAAAATTCGTTTCTCTCTCTTTATTCATTTTATTCGTATGTGTGATCAATGTGCGTAACAATTTTTCTTTATCCTCCTTTCCTATTTCTTACCCTTCGCGAAGAATTAAACGACGCAAAGGCTATGGTGGCAGCTCTCGAATTAATTTTCACATCGTCCGCCCGATATGGCGTTTCCGCTGCCGATCTAAGCAGTGAGTTACAACAGCTGGGACTGCCTCGCGAACACAGTGCTGCGATTGCCAGACTACATACGGATCATTGTCCTCAAATTACGGCTGCACTTTCTTCGCAGTCTTTAAGAGGTAATTAAACGTCTTTTGGATTAGCCGCGTGATTGACGCGAATTCTAATTGGATTGGTAATATGGTTTTGCAGTCAGCAGATTATCGTCGATCGAAGTTCTATCCTGCGACAATTCCACGCCATTCTCCACGGTGTCTCTCAAATTGAAGAAGCTGGACGGAAACGTAGAAGATTCCGTTATTAATATATCAAAAAAGGACGTTCACGTTCTACTGACAGGTGAAGATTAGAATTTGACAAACGAAAGATTGGTATTGTTCGCATTTAACTCGTTCGTTTGTTTTTCCGTTTTTTCTAGAACTAAGAAGAGCCAAATCCTTGATGGAAAATCTCTAAATACTTGAAAATTACATTCTATGTACACACAACATGATCATCTTCATCGATAAGAATATTGTAAACTATATAACGTCGTCAATAATAACATTGCAAAATGAAAATATTTTGTTCTTTATTTTCGGCAGAAATCAATATTTCGTAATAAAAGCGACAAACATTTCCGGTAAAGGATGAAGAGGGAATATAGGTACTTTATCGAAAATAAATATCTCTCCAAATTAAAAACAAAAAGTTTTTAAGTAAATGAAAAACACGAGAGTACAAGGAAAGAGTATTGCTAAGGTATAATGTATATTTATTATATTATCATTTTTTGTCATATAGCATAACATTGTTATTTCTATAGTAATAATAATAATCATAATCATAATAATCATAATCATAACCATAATCATAATAATAATAGTAATTATAGCACCATGAACACTCCACAGTAAGTTTTTTTTTTTGTTTAATTCGTTATTCGAAAAACACGACGCGCTGATGCGCTTCAAGGGGTGAGAACCGCGATTTGTATAATAAATACAATTGTGAAAAACTGTACTTCGTCTTACATCTGCGGCGCAGTCTCGTAACGGCAGAAAATCGACTGTGAAGAAGAATGACTAGATGATTTTTTTAATATTAGGAAACGAGATTTTCTTCTGACTAGAACATTAGCGTATCCGATATTTCGCGTGGAGTAAACAAACTCTTGATTTATCATGTCTCGGTAGACCGATTGCTTTACTTTTCTTTTTCATTTTTTTTTCTCTTTTTTTCTGTCTTTTCAACATTTTGTCCCTTTTCGCATTCGTCTCGTTTGATCGCTGATTCGACGTTGCTTCGTACAATGTACTCTTTTTGATCCAGCAAAATCTCTTTAAAAACGCATGCCAAAATTCGAACGTGAGCCCTTACCCCGATACGCTCGAGTGTCGGATACGTGTTAAGGGCGTATGAAACACACTTCATACGACGCTCTTTTTAAGTTGATATTCAAATAAAACCGTATCACCGTTCTCACACCCGTTAAGCATCGCGATTTAGGGGTTCGTACAGGTGTCGAGGTTCGCACTTCTTAATCCTTTGCATATTCTTTTTCCTCCCGGAATTAGATTTCTTTCTAGTTTTTTTATTTTGTCTCTGACTTTCCATTCATATATTATATGTATATTTCTTGCGTCGTATGCATGTATTATGTATGTGCATACGCACGGTTTGTACGTATGTGTCTGTGTCTGTGTCTGTGTTTGTGTGTGTTCATATATATATATATATTTATATATATACCTTTTTGTTCTTCTTTATATTTAATCTAAACTGTCTTAATGAAAGCTCGTTCTTAACTTTTATATTCATCCTCGTTTCTTTTTAATTAAAATTCTCTTTCATCTTCGTTAGCTCGTCGAGGACGAGCGCATACCTAACCATTCGCTTCGTTTTACCAATGTTAATATAACTGTGTTTGTTTACTCGTTTCGATCGTTCTCGTTACATATTCAATTTCATAATTTTAATATCCTACCTAAATAGCTGGTCGTCGTTAGTTTGTCAATAAATAATACATAAATACATAGGTACACACATGGTTTTATCGCTATCGCGCATTTACGTTTTCTTCGGTTTCATTCGTCTGTTCCTTCTTTCTTTCTCTCGTCGCAAGCGACAAAATTCTCGTCCACGATGACGATGGTGACAATGACGATACGACCATGCCAATGACGATGGTAAACGTAACAATGCAACAACAACAACAACAATAACAATAATAACAGTGACAATAATAGAGATGATGACTGTAACGATACGATAATGGTCATTGATAATACATAATAGTAACGCGATGATTATGATAATCATAATGATGATGGCGATAATCATAACGATTTTGTTAGAATAACAATGACAATAGCGATAGTACGAACAGCGATAATATTAGGAGGAATAATAAATAATAATAAATAATAGCAATGACAATGGTAATAACGAGCATAGTAGCAGCGGCAGTAGTAGTAATAACGATGATGATGATGATAGTAATAATTATATCGAAGATAATACGTAGCAAACGTATTTTCGTTTAGACCAAACTTCTTTAAACCTCTCGTCCAAAGATCTTACGTATAAACCTAAATTACAAAGATGTAAAAGATGGAAAAGTAAATGCGTAAATAAGTAGATGAAATATACACACGGAGGAGCAAATAAGCGATCGTTGACGAGCAAACTGCGTTAAACGAGCAGTAAAAAACTTACACACTAACTAGAGCATTTATTGGACCTTGAGTTATCGTAAGACAATCACAATCGGCAGAACGTACGTTTCTCTTCTTAACTCTGCCTTTTTCCTTTCACGAACCTGGTAACATTCGTAAGACGATCGTTTTCGTACAACGGGTGTGAAAACCGATCGATATTATAGGCCTTTCGCTATGCTCAGTTTTTATGCCTTCGGTCTTTCGTTATTCGAGACATTTCCATCGAAATTTTCTTCTCAAATTCTCCGTGGTCGATCCGAGTAAATACAATTATCCGTAACTTGAAACTGTCAACTTGCACGAAATCGAATGCGATGGTAATTTTGTTAATAGGTCGATGAGATCGCTTTCGTTCTTTCAACGAACCATACTTATCTGTTATTTTCACGTATACATATATATATATATATATGCGTTCACAAAATAAATTTTTCCTTATATATCATTTATCACGAAACGATTAAGAACATAACGAGCATGCGTTCTCATAATCTACAAGGCTACGTTTGTTCTATGAAAATTACCTCGATCACACGCGTATTTCAAATTCTTGAAAACACGTTCGCTTTACGTTACTCACGTTAAGCAGAATTTTATTTCATCCACGTGGAAGATATCATCGTCCTTATACTTTCGGATTTCTAATCGTTCTTACAAGGATTATCATCATCATTGCCATCATCGTTACTATATTTGTCGTCGTCTCGTCGTTATTGTCACCGTTGTAGTCGTTATTGTCGTCACCATCGTCACCATCATCACCATCGTTATCGTCGATAACCGGTAATCGTCACCGTTCTCGTTTACGTTCGCGTTGTCCACATCGTTGTCACCACCGATCATCGTCATGATCGAATCGTTATCGTGACTAATGCGTGTTTTCGTCATTGTCGTTACGATTACCGTTGTAATCGTTTCGCGTATAGTCATCGTTACCATGTGTCGGGCAATTGTCACGCCATCGTCATCCCGCACGAGTGCAGTTTTGTCGTATTTCGTCGATCTGATTGAAATAAGTACAAAATGAACTAAACGGTTTGTCAACTTTCTGGAACGCTTTCTTTTACGGTGTTCGGTTCGACACGCGTAAAAGGAATAGGGACGCGCGGAGCATCGAAATTCCCTTGGAAAGCAAACATCGTCAGAATCGTTGCGTTTCTTTCGCGAGATACAACGAGGAGAGAATGGAAACGAGTCGATGGAATTCGTAGACCCCTTGTACAGTTCTCAACGTCGATACGACACCGCGATTATCGTTTGGTCTAATTTCATAAACGGTGCGCGCTCTAGAAAGTGGTATTTTGTTACGTGGCAAATGAAATACTCTCGTCTCTAAAAAATATCTATAAACGGATTTATATTACAGGAACGAGCAACTCTGTTCTTAAGGTGGCCGAAAACTCGGGCGAAACGTCGAAAAACAGAGCTGTTCACTCCGATACGATTATCGAACGTGGACTTTGTCCATTGGATGGATGTTGTACGATTTTTTACTTTATCGCCGTCTCAGTTTTGCTTCTGATATTCTACTTTCTTCGTTATCGAGAAGGGAATCCTTTTTTAGATTTTGCTTTATCTTTATTCACCTACCTCCGCTATAAGGTAACGGGCCTAAGTGGCATTTGGAATGGAACATCGACGATATGGACGATCGTTTTCCTATATCGCTTTTCCTGTTGTTCGCTTCGATCCGATTGCGACCGCGCGAATATCTTCTATTCTTTAGGAATCTTTGGAAACGCTTTGTTTCACGACTCGGATCGTCTCACCGCGGTACTTCCCGATTGACGTATATAGTCGTTTATCTCTGTACACGAGTAGACATTCACGACGAGGAGATCGATCGTTAGTTCGACGAAGAAACGTCCTTGGATGTTCCAACTCGAATTCGTTTTTGTCGAGAACTTAAGACCGTAAAAGATGTACAAAGAATCCTTTTTTCTTCTTCATCGACGTGGTCGATGCCTCGATATCTGCCCGTTATGTGTACGCGTTGTTTCGTCCTATTTACCTTTGTACGTCTTGTCCGTGTTATTGCTAGGCTGCGTTGCGTTGTTTCTACGTGTCTCCATCTTTCTACGGCTTTTTTAGCGATGCTTTCAAAGCGATAACAGTGTCGAGTAATAGGTGTGTATATAAAAAGATAATGGAGGCAAAGGACGCGTTCTTTAAACTTTGTGAGTGTAAGCGTCCAAAAAAACTGAGAACAGGCCAGGTTCGTTTGTCGCAACAGCTTCTAACGCGATCGTTTCGCAGCTTCGTATCGAAATTTTGCACGTACCAGCAAAGATCGTACACGGCCGAGTGTTCAGGAGAAAATTGCATTCTTTTTATCGTATTCTCGATCTAAGTATCATAGGTGAAGGAAGCAAAGAAAACAGATAGAGAGAGCAAGAAAGGAGCATCGTTAACGTTATCGTCCTCATCGCTGTTGTCGTTATCGTTGTTGTTGTGTTGTTATTTTTGTTGTTTTCGTCGTGATTGTTTTTGTCGTCGTTATTGTTGCTGCTATATGTTGTTATCGGTGGTCGTGGTAATATAGTTGTTGATCCAATAAACCTGTGCATTTAAAAACAAGGAACAACTGCGTATTTATGATTTATACGGGATTAGGCACGAAATATTCGGATCGTAGAACGACCACGTCCAAGTCGTTCGATGTAGCCTCTCCTTAAGATTTTTCTAAAGTTTTATGAACCGCTAGTAGGCACGGTAAGGAATTCGCGAAACGGCAAGTCCAGAAATAAAGCGATCAAGTACACTCTCTGAACACCGCTCAGAACTCAACTATTACGGCTGAGCAGGCTGCCAATCCCTAGAATTCAAGTCTATAGGCACTGCAACTAGTCTCGTGGTCCTGCAGGTTAATCGTACATCGGGATGCTGAAGGTGAAAGGTCAATGTGATTCGCAGCCAGAGCTTCTTCGTTGTCGGCTACCCAATAGCCCAGGGTGTCGGTGTCGTAAGTTGGGATCATAGTTACCTCTGAAAAGCAAAGATCATAATGCGAATCGTGCTAGGATCAGCAAATTAAGCGCTACGTAAGGATATAGTTTCTCGATGAGAATTAAGACTTGAAAATAAGATTGAAAAATTATTAGAGTTTTGGAATAAACGAGTGCCAATACCGATCGGCATAAATGTGTCCGAATGAAAACTGACGTCGACCTACCGAGATCTTTGTCTTCCCAAGTCCTCTTAGCTTCCAACAAAGCGTCATAGACCTCGCGACTTGGTTCGGTACCGCTGAACACGTAATATCTCGCGCGAACTCTCTTGAAGAATTCCAACGATGTGTAATAGGAGTTTCCATGATGAGGTACATAAGTAAGATCCACGTAGACGGGTTGTACTTTATTCTTCGAATCCTTCAGCTTCTTCTCGTTCTTGCCCGGACTCTCGGAGCGTTTCTTGTTCTTCAAATTCTCCGATAGAACCTTTCTCGCTTGTTTCTTCTCTTTTTTCGGTGTTCCGGGTGTACCCTTGTTAGAAATTTCATTGGTCACAGGAGCTGGCGAAGGTAATCTCAATGGCTCACCCCAGTCGTTAATAGCGTCGAAATTTAGTCTCATATTGTTGTCGGAATTCGTGTTTCTGAGGTTAAACTTATGCGGTGGAATGGGAGAAGGAAGTCCCAACGGAGTTCCCCAACCATCTAACGGATCTTTCTTCGTGTCAGACTTCGGATCCTCCTCTTTGCGATCGTCCGACTTACCATCAGAATCTGACGCTTCTCGACGAACGCTACCGTTCGTGTATCTCGCTGAGATAGTTTTACCCTGTGGTTCGGTTTCTTTAGTTTCCTTTTGTTCCATCGACAGAGCTTTCTCAAAGTCGAGTCCAGCCTCGTCGATATATTTCTTCGGATCGGATTTCTCCTTGTAATCTCCGGCATACTCTTTCTCCACCATGAAACGTTTGAACGTGTAATCACCTTGATCTGTCAGAGTGGAAGATTCGCCGATCTTCTGCGTGCTGCCACTTGTTGTATCTTTTTCAGACGGTAGCTCGCCATAAATGCTGCTGCTCATCGCGCTGCTCATAAAGTCGCTGGATGTTCTCTCTTTCTCTTTTTCCTGCAAGGAACGTAGAAGGGAGCTATCGGGACCCAAAGATTCCGTCATATCCTTGCTAGGTAAATATTCGTCTACCTTCACGTCCACTTTCTCCGCCAATATCACCGTCTCTCCTTTTTCGTTTGTGGTTTCCGTGACTTCTCGGGTCGTCGTCACTATCTCACCGTCGTCGGACACTGTCTTAGTCGTGGTGATGATCGTTCTGATCACCTCTCCCGATCTGAATCCTTCCGGAGTTCCAGTCAAAGACCTACCTTCGGATCTTCGGTCCGGTGTAGTTCTTCCTGACAGAGAAGAAACGTCGGAAGCGATATCGCGTACTTGAGGAGGCATCGAACGTTTATCCATCGGCGTATGCTTCGTTTCTTCCTTTTCAAATTTCGCTTCAGATTTTCCTTCTGCTCCTTCGACTTTCTTCTCTTCTTTCTTCCTTTCCGTAGACTCTTCGGTCTTCGTAGTTCTAATAGTAGTTTCTTTGATTATGGTACCTTCGTCGCTTAAAAATTCACTCTGCTTACTAGCTTCGGTCGTCATTTTTTCGATAGCCTCTCTGATGTCCTTCTCCGATATCTCACCACCCGTTTCTATGATAGTTGTCGTTCCTTTTTTAACGTCGACGTGCATACCCGACAGAATGTCCGATGTCAGACTCTCTTCGCTCAGCTTCTCGCCTCCTGTAATCACGATTTTCTTCGTTTCTGTTCTCACAGTTTCGACGGTCGATGGGACAGTTTCTTTGCTCACGATTTCTTTTATCGTTTCGAGATCGTCCGTGTCGCCCATCTCACCCTCGGGAACGATAATCTCGCGCTTTATGACTTTCGTAATCACCAGCGGATCATCCTGCTCGATGATCTCCCGTTTTATCACCTTACGAATCGTTTCGGGTTCTTCTTGATCCGACACTTCCCGTGTCACGATTCTTTTAACCACGATCACCTTGCCATCTGGCGAAACTTCCTTTTCTTCTTCGGTTGGCTCTCCTTCCATCTCTTCTTTACCTTTGATAATTCGTTTTTCCAATTCCTCGAACTCGAGCCTGGCCGAGGGTACGGATTCGCTCGCGTCTACGTCCGATTCGATTACTTTTCTGATTACTTCCGTTTTACCCGTCACTTGCGCGTCTACTTCGCCGATTTTACTTTCTTTCAGTACAGTAACTATCTGAGGTTTCGCTTCTACGGTGTGCGTAACGGATGATTTCTGGGTTACCGTAGTGGTGATAGTGGTGGAGGTGCCGATACTCGTAGAAACTACATCTTTATCAGGCGAAATATGGTCGATTGGTTTACCGGCAGATTTGTCTTCTACTTTCTCTACGGTGGAAGCTGTAGGCTCGGATATCGAATCAGGAGTTCCGTCACGAGTTACGTCTGGCGTTGATTTTCCTGATAACGTCGTTATATGAGTCGTACGTATCTCGGTTACTCCGCCGACGAATGCTTTGTGGAATTGGCTCTCGTAACTTGTCGAATAATCCGTCATCGACGTTTCCATGTGGCCTTCGCGTTGTCCCGAATATTCCACCGTTTTGTAATCGTAAGACATTTTCCCTTCTCCGTGGTCGGGTTCGTATCTGAGCTCCAGTGATTTTTCATAACGGTAGCCATCCTTGCCGTAGCTGTCATCTGGCTCGTCGTCGTGATAGTACACCTCCACGTCGATCACGGATTCTCGAGTAAGTTTTCTCTTCAGAATTAATTCCTCCGTTATTTCTAGAATAATGTATCGAGGTAAAGACGATCGAACGATAATGTCTTCTAGAATTTCTTCGGTGATCTTCTTTCCTTGCTTAACGTAGTCTTCTTCGAGAAGTTTCTCAATTTCGATTCTCTTCTCTTCCGAGATCGAAATTTCTTCGTCGATATGTGGCTCAGAACGTACAGGGCTATCTTGAGTAGATTTATCAGAAGCAATCAGTTCGGAACTTACGCTAGAACTTATCGAATGATCCGACTTCTCCATCTTTTGCTCGGGTATATCTAAAACTGAATCTCTGTTGAGTTTCCTCGTCGTAATAATTGTCTCTATGATAGTCATTACTATCAACTCTGAGACTGAATAAGTTCTAATTATTTCTTCTATTACGATCATCGTGATCTTCCTTCCCTTATTTATATATTCTTCTAAAATATACTTTTTAATATTTGCTTCTTTCTCAGGCGTTATTTTCATCATACTTTCTCGATCGACCTGCGTTTGGTCCATTTCAACACTTTCAGGCAATACTTTATAGCTATCATCGACGAATAGCGACTTATCTTTAGTTACCTCTGTAGTAGAAACGCTTATCTTCGTAAAATCTTCCAGTTTAACTGGCGTCTTTAATGCCCCATCCTTTTCGACTGATTTCCGAATATCAATCTGTTTCTCTTCGACATCTAGCTTTTTACTATCGATTTCTCTTCTTTTATCGCCTTCGTCTAAATCAGCGATGCTGGGAGACTTTGATTTGTCGGACAAATCTTTAGCTTCTCCTGGAACACTCGCTACACTGGGAGATCTGGATTTCTCAATTTCTTTTATACCAACTTCCTTCAAATCAGGTGTCTCGCTAGCAATGCTAGGAGTCTTTGATTTATCCTTAGGTTCTGACAGGACACTTGTTACACTGGGCGATCTGGACTTTCCAATGTCTTTAGCTTCGACTTCCTTTACATCGGAAACGTCGCCGGCGATGCTTGGGGACTTCGACTTGTCCGATACATCTCTCGAGTCCAACGTTGCACTTGGTATACTTGGAGATCTGGATTTCTCAGTATCTTTTGCTTCAACATCCTGTATATCGGGAACTTCTCCAGCGACACTCGGAGACTTGGATTTGTCCGCTGCTTCCTTTGGTTCGCCTAATACACTTGTTACACTAGGAGATCTGGATTTGTCTTTTACGTCAATATCCTTGAAATCAAGCGTGTCGCCAGCGATACTGGGCGACTTGGATACATCGGATTTACCCGCTACATCCTTAGATTCCACTGAAACGCTTGGTACACTCGGAGATCTAGATTTCACGATATCTTCCAATTCAACTTCTTTCACATCAGGTGCCTCGCCAGCGATACTGGGTGACTTTGATTTATCCGATACATCCTTAGCTTCCTTTGGAGCACTTGGTATAGTTGGAGATATAGGTTTGTCAATAGATTTCGTTTCAACCTCCTTTAGGTCAGGTGATTCACCAGCAATGCTGGGCGACTTTGACTTATCTGATACATCTTTCAATCCCACTGAAATATCTGTTACACTTGGTGATTTAGATTTGTCCACAGAATCTGCAACATCTTTCAGATCCAATATATCACTAGCAACGCTAGGGGATTTTGATTTATCCGTTAAATCCTTTGCTTCCGCTGGGGCACTTGTTACGCTAGGTGACCTAGATTTATCAGCAACTTTAGCGTCAACATCCTTTAAATCACTTGTTTCGTCAGCAACGCTGGGAGTCTTTGATTTTTCTGATATATCTTTATATTCCAACGGAACACTAGGTGACCTAGACTTATCAGCATCCTTCGTGGGAACATCCTTCAAATCGAGAGCCTCGGCAACAATGCTGGGAGACCTGGATTTATCCTTCGATTCGTCTGTGACGCTAATCACACTGGGAGACCTAGATTTCCCAATTTCTTTAGCCTCGACATCCTTCAAATCAATAGCTTCGCCAGCAATACTGGGCGATTTCGATTTATCTACTGTTTCTTTTAGTTCCGCTGAAACGCTTGTTACGCTAGGAGATCTAGATTTCTCCATATCTCTCAGATCAGGAACTTCACCAGCAACACTGGGAGATTTTGATTTATCTGACACGTCCTTTGATTCCACAGGAATGCTTGCTATACTGGGAGATCTAGATTTCTCAACATCCTTCAAATCGGGAACTTCGCCAGCGACACTGGGAGATTTTGACTTATCTTTTAAGTCCTTGGATTCCACAGGAATACTTGGTATACTGGGAGATCTGGACTTCTCAACATCCTTCAAATCGGGAACTTCGCCAGCGACACTGGGAGATTTTGACTTATCTGATACGTCCTTAGATTCCACAGGAATGCTTGGTATACTGGGAGATCTGGATTTCTCAACATCCTTTAAGTCGGGTACTTCACCAGCAACACTGGGAGATTTTGATTTATCTGATACGTCTTTCGATTCCACAGGAATGCTTGGTATACTGGGAGATCTGGATTTCTCAACATCCTTTAAGTCGGGTACTTCACCAGCAACACTGGGAGATTTTGATTTATCTGACACGTCCTTTGATTCCACAGGAATGCTTGCTATACTGGGAGATCTAGATTTCTCAACATCCTTCAAATCGGGAACTTCACCAGCGACACTGGGAGATTTTGACTTATCTGATACGTCCTTTGATTCCACAGGAATGCTTGGTATACTAGGAGTTCTAGATTTCTCAACATCCTTCAAATCGGGAACTTCACCAGCGACACTGGGAGATTTTGACTTATCTGATACGTCCTTTGATTCCACAGGAATGCTTGGTATACTTGGAGATCTAGATTTCTCAACATCCTTTATGTCGGGTACTTCACCAGCAACACTGGGAGATTTTGACTTATCTGATACTTCTTTCGATTCAGCGGAAACACTTGGTATACTGGGAGATCTAGATTTTGCAACATCCTTTAAGTCTTGAACTTCTCCAGCAACGCTGGGAGATTTTGACTTATCTGATACGTCCTTCGATTCCATAGGAATACCTGGTATACTGGGAGATCTAGATTTCTCAACATCCTTTAATTCGGGAATTTCACCAGCAATGCTAGGCGTCTTTGACTTATCCAAAACGTCCTTTGCTTCAGCCGGAATACTAGTTATACTGGGAGATCTAGATTTCTCAATATCCTTTAAGTCAGGTACTTCTCCAGCAATGCTGGGTGACTTTGATTTATCCGTGGCTTCTTTCGATTCCGTTGATGCGATTGATATACTTGGAGATCTAGATTTTTGTGTATCTTTTATATCGGCGTCCTTTACATCGGGTATTTCGCCAGCGATACTAGGAGACTTTGATTTATCTGATGCGTCTTTCGCTTCAGTTGGAACACTTGTAATGCTAGGAGATCGAGATTTCTCAATATCTTTTGCTTCAACATCTTTCAAATCGGGGACCTCCCCAGCAATACTAGGCGATTTTGATTTATCGGATGTTTCCTTTGTTTCAGTTACAACAGATGCAACACTAGGAGACCTGGATTTGTCAGCACTTTTTGCATCAATTTCATCTAGATCGGGTTTCTCGCCAGCAATGCTAGGTGACTTTGACTTATCAGTTGATTCTCTCAGCTCGGCTGAAATGCTTGTTACACTAGGAGACCTAGACTTCTCAGCATCTTTTACGCAAACGTCTTTTAATTCTGGAATCTCACCAGCAATGCTGGGTGACTTGGATTTATCCGGTGTTTCTTTCCGCTCAGTAGGTACGCTTATCACACTAGGAGACCTAGATTTCTCAATATCTCTTTCGTCAATCTCCTTCAAGTCAAGAGTCTCACTAACAATACTAGGTGACTTTGACTTATCCGAAAGTTCCTTCGGTTCAACTGCAATACTTGCTACGCTGGCAGATCTGGATTTGTCAAAATCTTTTTCATCGACTTCCTTCAGATCGGCAATATCTCCCGCAATGCTTGGTGTCTTGGATTTATCAGCTGGTTCTTTTGGCTCAGTAAGGACACTAGTTACGCTAGGCCTAGGAGACCTAGATTTGTCAACATCCTTTAAGTCAGGTTCTTCGCCAACAACGCTGGGAGTCTTTGACTTATCTGATACTTCTTTAAACTCCGCTGAAATACTTGTTACGCTAGGAGACCTAGACTTCTCGATATCCTTTAAATCTGGTGTTTCGGCAGTAATGCTAGGAGTCTTTGACTTATCTTTCAGTTCCGTTGAAATACTTGTCACACTAGGAGATCTGGATTTCTCAATATCTTTTGTTTCCAGTTCTTTTAGATCCAGCGTATCACTGACGATGCTTGGTGTCTTTGATTTATCTGATATATCTTTAGTTTCTATTGGAGCACTTGGTATACTCGGAGATCTAGATTTCTCAGCACCTTTCGCTTCAACGTCCTTCAGATCAGGCGTTTCACCAGCGATACTAGGAGACTTCGACTTATCCGATACATCTTTTGCCTCAGCTGGGACGCTTATTACACTAGGAGACCTAGATTTTTCAATTTCTTTAGCTTCAAGATCCTTTAAGTCAGGTGTCTCGCCAGCGATACTAGGAGATTTCGACTTATCCGGCACGTCTTTTGCTTCAGATGGGACACTCGTTACACTGGGAGACCTAGACTTCTCTATTTCTTTAGCTTCAATGTCCTTTAAGTCAAGTGTCTCGCCTGCGATACTAGGAGATTTTGACTTATCCGGTACGTCCTTTGCTTCGGATGGGACACTCGTTACACTGGGAGACCTAGACTTCTCTATTTCCTTAACTTCAATGTCTTTTAAGTCAGGTGTCTCGCCAGCGATACTAGGAGATTTCGACTTATCCGATACGCCCTTTCCTTCGGATATGATACTCGTTACACTGGGAGATCTGGACTTCTCTATTTCTTTAGCTTCAAGATCCTTTAAGTCAAGTGTCTCGCCTGCGATACTAGGAGATTTCGACTTATCCGGCACGTCTTTTGCTTCGGATGGGACGCTTATTACACTAGGAGACCTAGATTTTTCAATTTCTTTAGCTTCAAGATCCTTTAAGTCAGGTGTCTCGCCAGCGATACTGGGAGATTTCGACTTATCCGATACGTCTTTTGCTTCGGATAGGACACTCGTTACACTGGGAGATCTGGATTTCTCTATTTCTTTAGCTTCAATCTCTTTTAAGTCAGGTGTCTCGCCAGCGATACTAGGAGATTTCGACTTATCCGACACGTCTTTTACTTCAGCTGGGACGCTTGTTACACTGGGAGACCTAGATTTTTCAATTTCTTTAGCTTCAAGATCCTTTAAGTCAGGTGTCTCGCCAGCGATACTGGGAGATTTCGACTTATCCGATACGTCTTTTGCTTCGGATAGGACACTCGTTACACTGGGAGATCTGGATTTCTCTATTTCTTTAGCATCAACCTCTTTTAAGTCGGGTGTCTCGCCAGCGATACTAGAAGATTTCGACTTATCTGACACGTCCTTTGCTTCAGTCGAGACACTCGATATACTGGGGGACCTAGATTTCTCCATATCTTTTGTTTCAACTTCTTTTAAGTCCGGAATCTCTCCAGCAATACTAGGTGTCTTTGATTTATCCACCGGTTCCTTTTGTTCAGTCAAGAGACTTGTGACGCTAGCGACACTAGGAGATATTGACTTCTCAATATCTCTTGCCGCAATATCCTTTATATCGCATACCTCGTCAACAATACTGGACGACTTTGACGCATCTGATGCATCCTTAGATTCTCCTGAGACACTTGTTATACTGGAAGATGCAGACTTCTCATCTTCTGCCTCTGCATCCTCTAAATCCGAATAACGAGAAAGTGATTTTTTATCAATAGCCTTTAAATCTGGCTTCTCTGCAGGACTAATCGGTGATTTCAAACGATCTGTAATAACCTCACGTTCTTCGGTAGCACCCGTTATACTTAACGCCCTAGCCTTGTCTATTTCCTTTACATCAATCTCTTTCCACTCATGCGGTTCAGTAGGAATACTGGGTCGCTTTGATACATCAAAAGGTGCCTTTGATTCTATCGGTTTTTCACTGGGAATTTCTGCGATGTCTGCTTTCGAAGGTTGTTCAAGAACAGGACTTGTAGTTGGAGTTCTAGGTTCCTCTGGTGTTTTTGTTTTCTTGGATTCTTCAGCCTGACGTTTAGAAACATCTACTTGTTCTTCTATCTTCTTTTCTGCTTCTGCGGTAGTGATCTCAGATTTTTCCAACTTTGTCAAATAGACAATCGTCTTTTCTACCATTTTATCCTCGCTTACCTCCTGCAAATCCCCTTTATCGCTCGGTGCCGGAGAAGGAGATTTTTTGTCTGCTTCTTTCTTTCCTAACTTGTCCTGGTCAGTGATAATTGCTGGCTTAAGGTCTGTGATTGGTTGTATCTTTTCTGCTTTGGTAGGTTCGAAATCAAGTGGTTTCTCTTTTAGTTCTGGACTCTTTTCAGGACTCTTTTCAGGACTCTCTTCAGGACTCTCTTCAGGACTTTTCTTAGGTGAAATACCGGCGCGTTCTTTCTTGTCTCCTTTTTCATCACTTACAGGCATCTCAATTTTTCTATCAACTTGAGCAACTTCTTTAATTACTTCTGTTTTCAAACCTTCCGGCATTCCAATCTTTCTTTCTGGAACTATCGTTTCGAAGGTTGACTTTAGAGGTTCTATATCTCTCATATCAGAAGTCTTCGCCGATTCTTCCGGTGATTTTGCAAAAATAGTTTCCGCCGGAGAAACATCTTCCGATCGAAGCGACTCCGGTGATTTCGATGCAACGATGTCGAGACTTTTCTTGCGAATTTCATCGACTTCAACTTTCTCTTGAATCAGCGTCGGTTTCTCTAAAGCTTCTTTAATCATTTTTCCATCTAATTCTTTTTTCTCAGCAACGGTGTCCACTACTTTAGTAGCTGTATCAACAGATGATTCGATTGTTTCAATCTTCCTAGTTTCTAATTCTTTCTTTTCGACTTTTTCACGAACGGTTTTAGCCATATCCTCCAAAATTTCTGTTTGTTGTTGCAAACTGGGAGACTTTGGAATTTCTGATTCTATCAGAGATGGAGAAGTGCTACTGTCCGCTTCTTTCGGTTTAGTAGGTACCGCCTTCTCTAAGCTGTCTTCGAGATCACGTGAGTCACGAGTGTCAATCGGTGACTTATCCAAGCTGTCTTCAGGAGTTACCTTTCCGACATCTTTGATTGATGGTGACTTATCAGAAATGCTGTCTTTTTCTGGAGAACTGATTTCTGAGTGCAGGGAGTCCTTATCTAGAAGCAAAGAATCTTTATCGGATGTTGATTTGACAGATGCATCTTTAAGAGAATCATCAGGTGTAACAGTTTTTTGGAGCGCGATAGTACCAGTTGGGGAAATTTCAATTTCTTGTCCGCCATCTTCGCTGCTTGCTGTAACTAACATCCTTCGAACAGCTGCAGCATCATCTTCAGGCGATTTCTCAGGTTTCTTTTCTTCTTTAACTGCAACTGGTATCTCTTTGAGTGGCTCTTCTTTTCGAGTCAACGATAAGTCTTCAAGAACAACTTTCTCAATCTTCTTGTCACCTTCGACCTTTTCTACTTTGGGAGATACTTTCTCATCCTTTTGAGCTAAATCTTCAGGAGCAACCTTCTCCATTTTCTTGTCATCTTCAATCTTTTCTACTTTAGGAGATATTTCTTCGTCTTTCTTAGCCAAGTCTTCAGGAACAACTTTCTCCATTTTCTTGTCATCTTCGATCTTTTCTATTTTGGGAGATACTTCTTCGTCTTTCTTAGTTAAGTCTTCAGGAGCAACTTTCTCAATTTTCGTGACATCTTCGATCTTTTCTGCTTTGGGAGATATTTTCTCATCTTTTTTGGCTAAATCTTCAGGCCCAACCATCTCCACTTTCTTGTCGTCTTCGATCTTTTCTACTTTGGGAGATATTTTCTCATCCTTTTTAGCTAAGTCTTCTAGAGTCACTTTCTCAATTTTCTTGTCATCTTCGATCTTTTCTACTTTGGGAGATACTTCTTCGTCTTTCTTAGCTAAGTCGTCAGGAGAAACTTTCTCCATTTTCTTTTCATCTTCGATCTTTTCCAGCTTGGGAGATACTTCCGCATCTTTTTTAGCTACATCTTCAAGAGCAACTTTCTCAATTTTCGTAACATCTTCGATCTTTTCTGCTTTAGGAGATATTTTCTCATCTTTTTTAGCTAAATCTTCAGGCGCAACCATCTCCACTTTCTTGTCGTCTTCGATCTTCTCTACTTTGAGAGATATTTTCTTGTCATCTTCGATCTTTTCTACTTTGGGGGATACTTCCTCATCTTTTTTAACTAATTCCTGAATACTCTTCTTACGCTCCACTTCAAGTATTTCCGGTTTCTTTTCAACAAGTTCTTCCTTCGGTACGCGATCAACAACTTCCGATTCCGGAATTTTCTTGGAAACGTCGATGACTGTCTCCAATTTGTCTTCTCGCTTCTCGTCTTTTGTTAATGAAATTTCAGTAGGCTTGATTTCATCGATGATTTCCTTTTGAACAGGTGACTTTGGTTCAGTCGCCTTTTCCACTGGTCTCTCTTCTTCTTTCGTTTCTATTGGTTTCACTTCTTCTTTCTTTTCCACTGGTTTTACTTCTTCTTTCTTTTCCACTGGTTTCACTTCTTCTTTCTTTTCTACTGGTTTCACCTCTTCCTTCTTTTCTATTGGCTTCACTTCTTCTTTCTTTTCCACTGGTTTCGCTTCTTCTTCCTTTTCTACTGGTTTCGCCTCTTCTTTCTTTTCCATTGGTTTTACTTCTTCTTTCTTTTCCACTGCTTTCGCTTCTTCTTCCTTTTCTACTGGTTTCACCTCTTCTTTCTTTTCCATTGGTTTTACTTCTTCTTTCTTTTCCACTGGTTTCATTTCTTCTTCCTTTTCTACTGGTTTCGCTTCTTCCTCCTTTTCCATTGGTTTTACTTCTTCTTTCTTTTCCATTGGTTTTACTTCCTCTTCCTTCTCTACTGGTTTCACTTCTTCCTTCTTTTCTATTGGTTTTACTTCTTCTTTCTTTTCTACTGGTTTTATTTCTTCTTCCTTCTCTACTGGTTTCACTTCTTCTTTCTTTTCCACTGGTTTCACTTCCTCTTCCTTCTCTACTGGTTTCACTTCTTCCTTCTTTTCTATTGGTTTTACTTCCTCTTCCTTCTCTACTGGTTTCACTTCTTCCTTCTTTTCTATTGGTTTTACTTCCTCTTCCTTCTCTACTGGTTTCACTTCTTCCTTCTTTTCTATTGGTTTTACTTCCTCTTCCTTCTCTACTGGTTTCACTTCTTCCTTCTTTTCTATTGGTTTTACTTCCTCTTCCTTCTCTACTGGTTTCACTTCTTCCTTCTTTTCTATTGGTTTTACTTCCTCTTCCTTCTCTACTGGTTTCACTTCTTCCTTCTTTTCTATTGGTTTTACTTCCTCTTCCTTCTCTACTGGTTTCACTTCTTCCTTCTTTTCTATTGGTTTTACTTCCTCTTCCTTCTCTACTGGTTTCACTTCTTCCTTCTTTTCTATTGGTTTTACTTCCTCTTCCTTCTCTACTGGTTTCACTTCTTCCTTCTTTTCTATTGGTTTTACTTCCTCTTCCTTCTCTACTGGTTTCACTTCTTCCTTCTTTTCTATTGGTTTTACTTCCTCTTCCTTCTCTACTGGTTTCACTTCTTCCTTCTTTTCTATTGGTTTTACTTCTTCTTCCTTCTCTACTGGTTTCACTTCTTCCTTCTTTTCTATTGGTTTTACTTCTTCTTCCTTTTCTACTGGTTTCACTTCTTCCTTCTTTTCCATTGGTTTCACTTCTTCTTTCTTCTCTACTGGTTTAACATCTTCCTTCTTTTCCATTGGTTTTACTTCTTCTTTCTTCTCTATTGGTTTTACTTCTTCTTCCTTTTCTACTGGTTTAACTTCTTCCTTCTTTTCCATTGGCTTTACTTCTTCTTTCTTTTCTATTGGTTTCATTTCTTCTTCCTTCTCTACTGCTTTCACTTCTTCCTCCTTTTCTACTGGTTTTACTTCTTCCTTCTTTTCCATTGGTTTCACTTCTTCTTCCTTCTCTACTGGTTTCACTTCTTCCTTCTTTTCCAATGGTTTTACTTCTTCTTTCTTTTCTATTGGTTTTACTTCTTCTTCCTTTTCTACTGGTTTAACTTCTTCCTTCTTTTCCATTGGTTTTACTTCTTCTTTCTTTTCCATTGGTTTTACTTCCTCTTCCTTCTCTACTGGTTTCACTTCTTCCTTCTTTTCTATTGGTTTTACTTCTACTTCTTCTTTCTTTTCTATTG